CTTCACCCGATAGAGAGAGAGTTCGAGAGCAGTGAGAGGGAGGGTTACGACGGTTACAGATCACAACACCATGAATGAAACAAAAAAAAAAATCAGAAATCGAAATAGAGAGAGAAGAGAAGAGGCAAAAATCGAAACAGAGGGAGAAAGGGAGAGATAGAAATCGAGGATATCTTACCTTGCAAGCCGAGCGATGAGAGAGCAAGCAATGTCAGTATGAAGAGGAAAGAATAAGAACACAAAGGGCGAGAGAGATAAAGAGGAAATGGGAAGAAAACGTGGGTCAGGACAGAGAGGGAGAGAGACATAGGTAGGTGGAAAGCTGAGGGAGAGAGATGTTTGAGTGGGAATCACATTCATCTCCACCGTTAATATATTTTTAGAATTGATCTCAGCCATTCAAAAGAAATATATCTTTGATACATTATATATTTTCAAAATCCGTTCTGTTTTATTATATAAATGTTCTGAAGTTATCACAATTTGCAGGGCAATCCGTATTGTCCTTCAATCAGCATTGTCACTGAGTCTAGGACATAGAGGTAATAATGTAATTTTGTTATTTTATACAATATTTTAATACACATTTTTACGTAAAAAGATAAAAAGTTATCCTAAACACACATATTTTTCTGTTTACTTTTCTCACAAAAAAATCAAAAAGTACACTTATTTAGAACACTCCAAACAACCCCTCAATTTAGGCGTCCAACTTTAATTTTTGGTACAAAAATAGAAGCTCCCATTGCGCTTTATGCCTTCAATTTTTTTTTTTGTTTGTTTTCATAAAAGGTGCTGCTACATGTACCAATTAATGTACTAACTAGTGTACCAACACTAGGGCTGCAAGTGAACAGAGCCGTTCGTGAACAGGCTCGACCTCGGTTCGGTAAGAGCTCATTCGAACTCTGTTCGTTAATTTTTTTTTTTTTTGCATTCTAGCTCGAGCTCGTTAAATTTTTAATAAATAAGTTCAGACATTCTAAAACTCGGCTCGTTAACTGGCTCGTTTAATATTTATTATTTATATATTAAATAATATAAAAATATGTATAAAAAATAAGAGAAATATGCTATTTATATATTTAAAAAATATAAATATAAATAATAGTTTACTATAGATAGTATATTTATATAATAAAGGTAGTAGATATTACTATTTTAGTAAAATATGGATTTTTTTTAGTATGTTTATATATATTGTATATATAATTGTATAATCAAAGTTTTAATTGTAACTTTAGTCTCCTATGCAAGTATGAATTTATAAATTTTTTGACTCGTTAAGGCTCGTGAACAGGCTCGAGCTCGAGTTGAGCCTAAGTCAACTCGACTCGAGCTTGGTTCGTTAAATTTTTATTCAGTTCGAGCTTGAGCTCGAGCTCATTAAAATCTTAACAAACAAGCCCAAACATATTAAAGCTCGACTCGTTTGCAGCCCTAACCAACACTAATTATGACATTATTATTGACTTCACTCATTAATCACATTATAAATACCAAAAGTTTCTTAAATTATGCCACATCATTAATTAGTACACTAATTAGTGCATAAATTGGTGCATATATTATTATTCTTTCATAAATATCCTTTTTGATGTAGCAATTTAATGAAATAGTCCAAGATGGAGGCACGTGGATGGTGTAGATGGGGCTCTCTTGCGGCATGCGTCTGCATCTCCCGTTTAAGACTATTTTGAAAAGTCATAATCAAAATTTTAAAAAGTCATTAAGAATTTTTTTTGGTAAAGAAATAAAAAATTAAATTCTCCAAATAAATCTTAATTTGTTTTCCTGTTTGATTTGGCAAAATTAAAGTTACGGGGAAGATATTTTAGACTTAATTACTAAGAATTTCCTATTTTTTGGGATTTCAACATAAGTTATTTATAAGAGTTTCGTTACGTTGAATTCAAAGAGGCACAACCAACCCAATATGTTGTCATAGTGCCCGATAATATGGAAAAATTATTTGGTGCTTATAAGCTGTCACTTGATAGTACTTCTTATCAATTATAATTTTTTATGCTTCTTTTTATTTTCAAATTATTTAATTATATCTCTTCCATCAATCATGACATCCGGTGTCCTAGACCAAGCAATAACTTATCGATAACATAAGTTGTGCACATTTTGGCATGCTATTTTTTTTTTGTGTCTTTTGAACTTTGAATTTTCATAATTTTGATTTAATACATTTAAAAAACAAATTATATATGTGTTTAGACTTGTTTGGTGATATCTACCAAACAAAAGCAATTACGAATATCATATTATCTTTAAACAAAAAAAATCTATTTTCCAATTTCTTAAAACTTAAATTTTTTTTAATGTAATAGCACATTTTATGATTAAATTTCACAATTCGTTTGAAATTGATAATTGTATATATATGAGACTTTGCAGTACCAAACATTTTTCATGTTTCACACATGGAATGTGCTGTAATTTTAAGGTGAAATTGAAATTATGAGTTGTTTGAGAGATTTGTACTGTTTAGAAAACTATAGATTTACCAAAATTGGAAATTTATAAAGAATTCAATTTTAAAAATTCGAAACTAGCAGATTCCTCAACTTGGAATTTATCATTTTTAAAATTTTGTAATTTGAGTAAATTGATTGATGCTAGTTTGTTTTATTTTTTTTGGGTGACACCACCAATTAATGTAGTTTGCCACACAAACTGAAACATCAAATCATAGTAATTTAATTTATTTAATTTTTTTTGTGATATTTCATTTATTAAACAATTAATCAAATTTTCAAATTGATTAAATTGAAGATGTTCATTCCTTAGTTTTGTTCTTATGGCAATGGGATCCCAATTTTAGTACACAATATTTAGTTTCACAGTTTTTATTGGAACTAGTAAATTGATAAATTTCATGTAAGAATGTGAAATTTAACAGTTCCAAGCTTTTTTTTTTTTGTGAATTTCAAAATATTACTGCTTTTATGCAATTTTTAAGCCAAGAAAACTATTATAGAGAGTCCACAAGTTCAACATATTTACATTTAGGTCCATTAAGGTTTTAATCAGGTAATACTTAAAGAATGTGTGGCTTTGGTTAAAAAGTCACAAAAAAATTAAAAAGTAAAAAAATCATGTAAAAAATGAAAATTTATTCCATTAAGTTTACCTTTTGCATTTTTTCAAAAAAATATAAGTTTTTTATTTATTATCAAACACTTAATTTTTTGTTTTACCTCATTTTTTAGCAAAAAAATCACTAAAAAAAGAAAAAACTACTTTCTAAGTCAACTCAGTTTTCATACTTTGTTAGTTATATCAATAGAAAAATAATGTTATCATTTATTTTATAATAAAAAAAATATATTTTATCATATTTATTTTTGTGTGTTTACATCATTTGCAATAATTATTAAATTTATAATCTTATTAAAATGGAGTGTGTTTACATCATTTGCAATAATTATTAAATTTATAATCTTATTAAAATGGAGATCAATATAATTATGTTAAAATTTTGAAATTTATTATATTTTATAAAAATTTATAATTTACCTTTATAAATATAATTCCTTTGATTGTAATATCACATATTATTAATTAATAATATTAGGAAAACATTATACAGCTTGTTTGGTTTCATAACTCTGGATTCGCTTTTTAGAAAATTAAAATTTTTTATTTTTTATTTTTTGTGTTTTTTACTTTTTGTTTTTACTGAATGTTTTTCATACTTTAAGCAATTTTTAAAAATTTTTAGGTACATCTAATATAAATACACTTAAAAGTATAATATTTGTAAAAATAATCTTTAAAAAATTCACTAAAAACAAAAAAATATATAAAAATGCAGTACATTTTTCATATTATTGTGTATTGATTGATTTTTTAAAATATTTTTTTACAAATATTTAATTTTTAAATACATCTAAATAAGATAATTTTTTTAAAAGGTAAAAAATGCTTAAAATTTTAAAAATATTCACTAAAAATAAAAAAAATATGAAAAATAAAAAATTAAATTTCTAAAAAATTAAATTCAAAAAATTAAAACCAAATAGAAAAATAGAATGGTAAGAATTTGCTGTAGGAAGAGGATTTTGGATTTTTTAAGCTAAAATAGCACTACATAAAATAAATTAAAATAATTAATAATATAAAAAATCATATCAAATTTATAATTATTTCACATTTTTTTTATACAAACTTCACATCAAATTATAAAAAAATCTAACATTATTTTCGAATATAACTATTTCAACTTATCAAAAAAAAAAAATTGAGAATTCTAATTTTGGAAGTCTAACACTGTATTTGGTGGTTAGGGGATTTGGAGAGGAATTTAGAAAGAAAAAGAGAAAATGTGTGTGAAATTAGATGAAATTTAAATATATTTTATTCACATTTCACCTACATTTTTCATTTCCCTTTCCAAATCTCTCCTCAAATCTCTAATAAAACATAACATAAAGAGAACTCTACTAATGTAATAAGGAGTGTGACCCAGATGTGATGGGATATGTATACCTATATTTTTATTTTTTATTTTTTTTCTCTTATCACATCACTAAAATTTATTTTAGAGCTCTAAAATTAAATTTTTTTATCATTATTACTATTAAAATAACAATAATATTTAAAAACTCTAATAAAATTTTAATAATGTAAAAAGTGTCAATGTAATATAAGAACCCACGCTCATCCCTCTATCTCTTTTTACTCACTTTTCCATCTCATTAGGATTCACATTACAGCTACTACTTTATGGTCATGTTTGATTCACAACACTAATAGTGAGGTATTAATAATCCTATCAAATTTAGTGTGGTATTAACTATCCCACCCCTACCCCATTACTAATAATCCTACAAATTTGTTGGATTAATTATCTATTGGATTAATAATCCTAAACCAAAATGTCAAAACAAACATAGGATAATTGGGCCCACAGATTAATAATCCCAATCTCATGCTTTAATCATTCCAATCAAACATGCCCTATAATTATAATTATGTATCATTACTCATTAAAATAGCAAACAAACATCCTCAACAGAGAGGTCCCCGAACTGTAGGTCGGTTGGACTTGCACAACCAAAATTCGAAACGGCAATGCAACCAAAAATGAAAAGAGAAAAAAAATGTTCCATTACGAAGAAACCGAAGCTCTCACCGAGAACCAAAGAAAACGACGACAACATGCTCCAAACCCTAGACGCGTCTATACTATCAACTATGTACCGACACCACACAGAGCAATTCGGCATTCAAGATTTCCATGGAGGAGTCTTCTTCTTCTTCCACATTGAGGTTTCGGTTCAGAGATCACCAACAACAACCGCAGATGGCCGACGGAGATGGAGACGACCACACCAGTCCCGACACTTGGTCTATCTCCAGCGACGGCGACGACGAGGTCGAGATCGAGTCCATGACTGGCAAGGTAAAGAATCATCTACTCTGACGATTAAACTGACTGTAATTACCATTCTGTCCTTCATGTATGTGCTGTCTGTGGAGACATTTTTTGGATTTAGTTAGAATTATTACACTAAGTACGTGCTGGATTCAAATAAAGAGTAAGGTAAGAATCAGCTTTTAGATGAGTTTGATGGGGTTGTGATGAGAATATAAATAATAAATTTATCATCTTTCTAACAGCTTATTTTTTTTATCATTGTTACCTATTAAAATAACAATAATATTTAAAAACTTTAATAAAATCTTAATAATGTAAAAAGTGTCAACGTAATATAAGAACCCACGCTCATCCCTCTATCTCTTTTTACTCACTTTTCCATCTCATTAGGATTCACATTACAGCTACTACTTTATAATTATAAGAGTAAATTGCATTTACCCCTCGAGATTTGGTTAAATTACAGATACTCTTGAGATTTGAGAATTTACGAATTCCTCCCTAAATGCTATATTTGCATAAGAAATTAGGGGGTAATTTGTTATGAAATATAAATCTCAGGGGACAAATTGTTATGAAAATACAAATCTCAAGGGGCAGGATGTAATTTCCGAAACCTCAGAAATATCTGTAATTTAGCTAAACTTTGAAAGAGGTATATATAATTTGCCCTAATTATAATTATGTATCATTACTCATTAAAATAGCAAACAAACATCCTCAACAGAGAGGTCCCTCTACTGTAGGTCGGTTGGACTTGCACAACCAAAATTCGAAGCGGCAATGCAACCAAAAATGAAAAGAGAAAAAAAATGTTCCATTACGAAGAAACCGAAGCTCTCACCGAGAACCAAAGAAAACGACGACAGAAAAAAAATGTTCCATTACGAAGAAACCGAAGCTCTCACCGAGAACCAAAGAAAACGACGACAACATGCTCCAAACCCTAGACGCGTCTATACTATCAACTATGTACCGACACCACACAGAGCAATTCGGCATTCAAGATTTCCATGGAGGAGTCTTCTTCTTCTTCCACATTGAGGTTTCGGTTCAGAGATCACCAACAACAACCGCAGATGGCCGACGGAGATGGAGACGACCACACCAGTCCCGACACTTGGTCTATCTCCAGCGACGGCGACGACGAGGTCGAGATCGAGTCCATGACTGGCAAGGTAAAGAATCATCTACTCTGACGATTAAACTGACTGTAATTACCATTCTGTCCTTCATGTATGTGCTGTCTGTGGAGACATTTTTTGGATTTAGTTAGAATTATTACACTAAGTACGTGCTGGATTCAAATAAAGAGTAAGGTAAGAATCAGCTTTTAGATGAGTTTGATGGGGTTGTGATGAGAATATAAATAATAAATTTATCATCTTTCTAACAGCTTAAATACTAACGTGATGTTTGGTTGAGAGATTTGAAAAGGAAAAAGAAAAAAGAAAAGGTGTGCAATGTGTCTCATATTACTTATGACTATTGAATGTAAATAAAGCCCTAAATCTTGAAAATTTTACACCTCAATGCTTTATATATAGAGTTTTCATTCATGTTTTGTGTCTACCGTGTACACACTTGATAATGTGTGTTATGATGAATTCATGAATTAGTTAGGCAATTGCCACTGGAATTTTTCAGCTCTACGTTTTCTTCTGGTTAATGTTTCATATTAATTGCAATGTGTGTTATCTTGTTTTGGTCATATAGGGTATTAAGCACCTGTGTTCGGAACTTCTTGAACTAAAGAGGATATCGGATGAAGATTTTCACAAGAATATATTTTCCAATTATTCAGCCTTTCTCAGGTAATTGCTGATATTTTCTCTGTTGTTTACAAATTTTCCGCTTTATTTTCTTCTTTAGTTAACACCTGATATATAAATTGTATTTCCTTTTCTTTTTTCTCTCCCTTAATATGAGAGGTCAATGTGGTTATTCTAGAATACGGCAATTTAAGTTGCGTTTCAATGGTTCATAGCTATATACAAAAGCATGGTCTCTATTTGTGAGCTTCACATGCTTTATTAAAAATGAAAGTAAAGAAAGAAAAGGGAAGCTAAATTCTGTATGCTTGGTTGTAGTTTTGAACAAGATTTATCATTTCTTGTCTCCATAATACTTTTCTTAAAATTTGGGTGTTTTTGCAGAGGCCATTTGCATTTGTTTAAACAACATGTTAGTGTTTTCTTTCTCCTGTCATTTTGATTTTCAATCATATTCTAAAGACATTTCTTTTTTTTCCCCACTTTTTTTTTTTTTTTTTTTTTTCCTGGGTGTGTGGGTATGGGAGGATGGGGTTGACGTGGGGTAGGGGCCCATTAGCAACCTCATCCAATATCTTGGCATCCTACTCACCTCTATTTTCTTCTTCTTTGCCCCCCCTACAATTCTTTTGATGATCCCTCCTTAGCAAATAGTGATGTATGCCGTCATACATTCAGGGTACTCACTGTTTTTTGGGGGTCATGTATTTCTTTTAAAGATTGAGCAAACTGTGACAAATTTTATCATACATGCAGAATATTTAAAGAATTGGAAGGCATGGAAAAGGAATTGATGCAACTGAAACAGCATGTCTCAACACAAAAGAGACTTGTAAAAGAGCTTGTTGATGGCATTTATCTAAAAGTTCTATCAAATGAAACAGTGGATTTAATTATTGAAGAACCTATACGTGTTGAACCATCTCCTCAAAGCATATTAGAGTCTCATGCTGATGATGTTTCAGAAGCCCTAGATATCCTTCTGTCAGAACGAAGATTAGATGAAGCCTTGGCAATCCTAGAACTGGAAGATGGAGTCTTTCAGGGGATGCAGTTGCAAGAGAAATTTCCCTTGAACGTGCTAACTTATTATAACTCTGCAATATCAGAAAGGAGGGCAAAGATTGCAGATCAACTGAAACTGGTTGCTGGAAACCCTAGAGTGTCTGCTCCCGAATTGCTAAAAGCTTTAGTTGGACTTTGTAGACTTGGTGACTCTCATCCTGCAACTCAGTTACTGGTTAAATATTACCATTCCCGCATTGCATGCGGGATACGTGACTTGCAGCATTCGAAATCAGGAAATGGTTCTTTCATTCATGAAGTTGCAAAATTAGTATTTTCAATGATTTCACAAGCTGCAATGAGCTTTTTAGTCTTATATGGAGAAACATCTTCTTATTCTTCAGAGTTCATGCAGTGGGCTTGTGAAGAAACTGAATTGTTTGCTGCCTCTTTCAATAAATATGTTAGATCCATTTCAGAAATAAGTGGTGGACTGGTAACAATTGTGGAAGCTGTGCAGTCTGCATTGTCATATTGCTCTTTGTTGGAAACTCAGAAAGTGGTGCTACATCCATGCTTGGTGAAGCATATCCGTCCTTGTGTGGAAGACGTTCTACAGATTCACATAGACCATTTTAAGAAAGTCATTCAGATTTTTACTTCTACAGATGCTTGGGTTGTGGACAAATATCTTCTATCAGGGATATTAAGCGAAGGGTGCTCTTCTGTAGTTATTGGGCAACAACCAGAATATTGCCTGCTCACTAACAGCGGTCGGAAGTTCGTAACACTGTTGCAGGTCTATTTGGTGCCCCCTTTTAAATTAATTTATAGTCTTGAAAAAATATTACTGTTGCGTTCTGGTGTACATAGCTTCATTGATATGGATATTATGTCCTTATACGTGAAAAAAAACAGAAGAAAAGAAAAAAGGAACGATAATCTAATTATTAAAAATGGGCACTTGATAGTGAAGAATATGGATCCAAATCTCCTAAAGGAATGATTTGGAAGGTCCAAATTAAAAAACACTGGTTTTTCCTTGCAGCAACATATGGAGGTAGGCAATCTATACATTTTTTTAGTGGAATTGATTATTCAAATGCAATTTCATCTTTTGCCTTCAATTGATAAACAATTCAATTCCTAACTAAGCAATCTGTGGTTTTATGGATAATTATTGCCGTAAGTGTGCGAGTAAATTGCGCTACTCATGCTGCTACAAAAATGTTGACTTATGTTTTTGCTTTTAGTAACAATTTTAAATCTTGCCATTCGTGAAAGGCATTGTGAAATACATGCTTGTGAAGGTGACTTCAAGTTGAAGCTCTTATTCTAATTATTTCATTAGTATTGGTTGTGTGCTGATGTTCATGGTATCTCTGATTAATAATTGTCTGATTGTAAAATGGGGAACTAAGGACCCTACTCCCATATTTCTAATTAGTAAAATATATTGTAAAATAGATTTGCGATATTTAACCTCAACTGATATATTACTAGTTTTTATTATTTCAGGCTATCACAGAAGACATTTCCCCTTTAGTTGCCTTTCAAATGGAAGCTTTTATCCTCAAAGGACTCATGGCCCTCTTCACAGAGTATCTTGCCATTCTTGAAAGTGTTCTCACTGGTAAAGCACATGGTTTGGAGAGAGGAGGTCGAGGAGACAATTCGGCAGAGTCACTGGAACAACAAGTTTCTGTAGTAGCCAATTTATCAACGCTTGTACGACTTTTCTCCAGCATTATCAAAAGTGTCTTCAAGGGCATCAATCACCTCGATTTTGAAGTTCATAACTTTATGTTATATATTCAAGAAGCTTCTGATCGAATCAGAGCTCATTTCTGCCAGCAATTTATATGCAAAATAATGTATGGGAGTGGCTGCAGACTTTCACAAGAAACTTGGGTTGGTGGCCAGAGTGATTCTGACACATCTGAAGATATGATGCCCTCTGTTGTTTTTCAGGTATTTATAATCATTGAAATTCTGAGCTTTGAAGAAATGACAAGAAAGGTGCTAATGTTAAACTTGACATACCCCTGTATTTGTTTCAACTCTGTGAGGACTTAACATGTTCCAAATTTCTATGCAGTTGTCTGAATTGATTTGACAATCTGTTGCGTATGGTGATTGGAGGGTTGAACTGAGATTGAAAATTTTAGAAATTGGTTAATATTATATTCCGTATATCATAGATACAGGACATTGTTCCTCACTTGCCCTCCATTTGGTTTCGCTGCATTTTCAGTCAGAATACTTTTATAGCAGTGGTATTTTTACGTTAAAGGATTTTGTTGGCCTCAAAATCTTCTGCTTAACTTGCTATTTTTTTATGCCAAATCACTCTCCTGTTTCTCCTCCAGGGAGTATTTTTGGAGCTAAGGAAATTAGAAAAACTTGCTGACGGCAACTTTGTTGAAGTGGATGGGTTGCCAGAGCTTATGAGGGAACTGATAGAGGCCATATTCATTTCCATCTCAAATAATGAAGAATTGTGGACAACTACCAAAGAGGATTTAGCTGTCCAACGTTGTGAGAATTTCAAGCAGGTATCTGTGTTCTTTTAGTTGTTCAAGTACCAAAAGAAATCTTGTTCTGCTACCTTTTTTCTGCATTGCTTGCCTTTCTTTTCCGCCTTCATTAGCCAAGTGCAAATATACATATCTAGTTGGATAGATGATTGCAGTTGTGGTTTGTCTGCCTGCACAATTGTTTTGCAGTATGCAAACTAAATTTTAACAAACAGCGTTGTTTGGGGGTTAAAATAATAAGAATCCTTTCCCAATTAAATATGTCTGAACCGATTTCCTTGTCGCAGCATGTTAAATCCCTTCATTAGGATTTTAGCTGATGCCATTTTTAGTTTTTGTCTCCCCACTATGACACCCTTTGTGTACCAAATCTCATTTTCACACTGCTTGTGCTTGGGTAAACCACTCAGTGGTCCCTTATGTATTATCACTTCCAGGGGCTATCCCTTATGGGTACATTCGACATTGTGCAAGTATGTAGCTTTAACAAACTTTTGGAATGTACTCGCTTTTTTATGTTTCAGTGAGGTTGTGAGCCTTAGAATTCAAAACTGGAATTTGACTAGAAGAAACAAAAGAATGATGACATTAACTGCATCCAATCTAATTCACCCTGTACCCCACTTTTTGGTGGGTTAAAATTGATTAATATCCTTCTTTTTTCCCTCCACTTTTGTGAAGTTTTCTGTTTCCTTATCTCAGGTGCAAGTTAAGGTCTCCCTTCTGTACCCATGTACTTTTACACAGCCTTCTCTATCTGTCACGTCACATCAAAACCTGACACCATCTCATTATCTACACTACATCTGCCATACTTATTTTGTTAGAGCTGTTGAGTGATGCTCATTGTTTGGTTGGAATTTTTTGCTAAGAGTTTTTGTTTCAAGAACAGTTTGTTTTGGATATGCAATTCCTGGTGGAAATTGCAAGGGAAGGAGGATACTTTACCAATAACATACTGACGGCCTCCCTGGCTCTCATATCTCACATGGAATCAATCTTTCTTTCTGCTGGGCTGGATCCTAGAAGGTAATACTGAACTTCCTCAGCTGGCCAGATAATTGGGCCCAAAAAAAAAGAAAATATATATATATATATATATATAAAACAAATTCAATGATGATGAGACATTTGAATATATCTTGGAGATGTAATTGACTTCAATAAACTGATAAGGTATCCCTTAGAAAACAGTTTTCTTAATTTTGTTTTGCAGGGATATGATTGATGAAGGATGGGCTATAAATTCTGCTAAGGAAGCCCATCAAAAACTACGAGAGATTGAAGAAACAAAACCATCGCCAAAAGAAACTACTGGTTATCTGGAAGAGAAAACAAAAGATGACCAGCCTGGCTATGCGAGTGACTCCTTTGAGATTGATGACACCACAAGTTCCTCGGAGAATTTCGTTGAGTCAGCAGAGCCGGTAGTCATAAATGTGTCAGAAGTTGTCTTTAGTGCTGGCACAGAGATATTAAAAATAGAAGACATGGAAGCAGATGGTGGTTTTGAATCTGATGATAGGAGTGCTGTAAATTCTTCTAATGTTATTATTACATCAGAAGACGTGGAACCTGAAACTGCAGTTGATGCCATGACAAAAATACGACAGAAAATCCGAAAAACTAAATCATCATCAAAAGAGCTGCTTTCTGATGGCAATGGTAGAAAAACTTCCTCAGAATGGTGTCCCAAAGAGGAGGATGAAACTAGCACTCAACTTGAATAGTCTGAGCAAGTGATTCATAAGCTAGAAGCGAGTGTCCAAATGGGATTGGCAGGGACTTTTGCATCTTTGAAAGGTATTGACAGACCGCAAGATGAAGATGAAGATGAAGATGAAGATGAAAAAATTATGGGAAAGGCATTGCGGAAAGCAAAATCCAGATTGCAAGATGAATAATGCCAACAATGGTTGGCATGGCTGAGCACAATTAGCGGCGTAAATCAGTTATTTTGACGGGTTTGAGACTAATTAGGTTAATGATAGGAATCCGGGGCAACTATCATAATAAGATTTCTTCTAGAGAGTTTCTCTATTTCGTGCCTATACTGCTGATAGTCTTTGAATTCAACAGAATTGTTGCAGAGTTGTAATTTGTTACTTGTGATGATGATGTTTCCTCCAATCACTTAGATAGTGTGAGTGCATAACTTTTTGAGAGAATAAGAATTTAGTGTTCTTCTGGAAATATCCAATTTACAATAAGCTAAGATTGTAGTGGGAAACAGAGCACCTGTGCCTTTTTTTTTTTCCTGCATCATTCAGTAGTTCTCTCATTTCCTTAACGACTTTAAGGTTAGTGCATTGAAATTTTACACCGTTAACGTTACCATTTCACTATTGTGATAAATTTTACTCTCTATCACTCACTTTGCTTCCTCATGCACAGAACCTTCAGGCAATGTCCATCAAATTTCAATCCTGTCAAACATGCATTTGTGAAGCATATTTGTTGGAATTCTCATGTATATTCTTAAAAATCTTACATCCAAACAGGCCCAATAAATGTTTGATAATTTCTTTACGACAGCAGCCAGCAAGCAGAGCTTTCACACTGTACATAGTTGCCAAGTATGAAAACAATATGAAGTTCACAAATCACAATGCGAGTATCTCAACATCTTGTATTTGATTCCAAGAATCAAAACCAACCCACAAGAAATCTTATTTTGAGTAGAAGTTCGGTGAGCTCACAATGGCTTCCTGCAACTCTCTCCTGTCTTCCCTGTCCATGTATGCATTATAAACAAAGAACTTCGACACAACCAGAAAGAACAGAAAGTTGAGGAAGCTCAGCACAGCAAAAAACGCATAAAAATAGTCCAAACGCGAGAGATTGAGATTGTCCAAAATCCAACCCTGGTGGCCATTTCTCTTAGTAACATCAGCCACAGTAGACACAATAAAACTACTGAGAAAATACCCAATTCCCAAACTAGTTGTAAAATAAGCAGTGCCAAGGCTCTTCATCCCATCAGGTGCCTGATCATAGAAAAACTCAAGCTTCGCGATCTCAAAGTTATCCGCGATCCCCATGAGTGCAAACTGAGGTAAAAGAATGAAAACACTAAGAGGGACAATTTCGTGTTTCCCAGTAATCCCATGTGCTTTTGCGACGCTAAGTCTTTTCATCTCTGCCAAACTAGAAACAACCATGATGATAGTGTGAAGGACTAAGCCGATCCCAAGCCTCTGCAACAATGTGATTCCTCTTGGGTTTTTTGTGAATTTTCGTATTGTGGGGACGAAGAAGCGGTCATAGAGGACGATGGTGACTAACATGAAGATTGTGACGAATGCGCTGAGACAGGCAGGGGGGATTTCGAAATGGGGACCTATATGCCTCTTAAGGGTGGTGCCTTGCTTGATGAAGAGTGTGTGTGTCTGTGCTACGATGGTGCTTGGAATGAATGTTGCACACAGGATTGGAATCATTTTGATCATTTGCTTGGCTTCTTCAACTTGGGTCACTGAACATAGGTTCCACGGCGAACTTGGTCCTGTTTTTATTGCTGCTTTGTCGAGAAGTCTGCAAGGGGCAATGCATTGTTTGTGAGTGAGATCAGGTGATGAAAACAAGTATGGGAAGGAGAAACATGGAGATGCCAATTTGCCTGTTTTGTGCAGCTTTTTTAGTAAGTTTTTCATCACAAAGTAGAAAAGTAAAAGCACACCTCATTAGTTTATCGATCATAAGTTATTTTATTTTTTTTAAAGCTTATTTATATTATTTTTTGCCTCATAAGCAGTCTCAATAAATTGCGCCAACTATGCTCAATGTACGGAACTTACTTCAATGAACAAGAAAACAATAATGCAACAAACACAAATCTTTCAGAAAAGACATAAGCCTAGAATTTTTACCGTGAAATGTGTGGATTGAACCTTGATGTGTTTGTGAGCCACAACTATGATGAATCTGGTTCACACGAATCATGATGTAAATTCTAAGTAATTTTCTAGGCATGTAATATTGTCGTAAAACTTTTTTTTATAGAAAAGTGCACAGATCTTAAATAGGCTCACACTTGTAGATGAATGCAATGCTGAGTAGTAAGCAATTCTCTGAAAAAAATTGATGGACGAAACTTACTTTAGTGAACAAAAAAAACTGAAACACTACAAACACATAATTTTTCCACAAAAAAGTATATAAAAATGCAGAGTTGACAACTTTGCATTCATCTTTGACTTAGGCCCACATGAATGCAATGTAATAACTAGGAACAATCATAGGGGCATACCTTAATGAGGGGGTGTGGTCAATTCTGAACTTACCAGAGCTGTTATACTCATCCAAGCTCACCTCATAAAGCTCTTTTGAGTCGTTTGGGACAGCCTCTTTCCTCTTCCTCATTGCAGCCACTAGTACCCTTGCTACGCTAGTCAATGGACTCCCGGAAGTGGCTTTATGTCTATAATAAGGTGTGCCCACCAAGAACACCACTATGGACACTCCAAGGCCCAGTGTTGGCAGGCTATAGCCCACAGCCCAGCCCACATTGTCCTGTATATAGATCAAGAAAGTGTTGGAGAAGAGGGTTCCAAAGAATATGCCGAACATCCACCAGTTGAAGAAGGAGAGCTTTTGGGCCCTCTCCTTGGGCTCGAAATCATCGAACTGGTCTGCGCCCATGGTGGAGATGTTGGGCTTGGTACCGCCTGTTCCCAGGGCTATTATGTATAGGGCACAGTAGAAAAAGCCCACTTGGAAGTTTGAGGCCCGTTTGTCGCAGTCCAGTTCATTCACACTCTTGTCGCATGATGGTGGTCTCAGGGTTGGCAGTGAAACTGCTAAAGTCAATAAGCACATTCCCTGTTTTTCAGAGAGGGAAGAGAACGTTATTAAGGGCTGTTTGTGTGAGCAATATATGCAAAAAGAAAAAAAAATTTGGTTTTTAGGCCCATTGTTGGGCCTCTTTATTCCCATGGTTTTGGACTTTAGAGCCCATTAGTCTGTCAAAAAACAAGTTTTAAACCCATTGTTGGCCCTTTTCATTCTCATGGTTTTGGATTCTGGAGCCCATTAGAATCTCTCTGGAGCCCATTAATATGGAGCCCATTGACAGTTTCTCACAATCTGAACCATTCATTTTATTAGATTTCGTGTGTAAATTATTCATGAAATATCAAATTAACTCAATATTTATAGATATATTATTTTATTATATTTGTCTTTAAAATAGATGATTTATTTTTAAAATCATATTTATAATTTATTATTTAAATAAAAATAGAAATAAAATCATGTATAATTATCATAATTCTTTTTTAATTTATAAATATTATACACTCAATCCAACAAAATAAACCATGGTAAGGGATCGTGGTAAATCCCATGGGCTTCAACAACATCAACCAATTCACTGTCTCAAATCACATCGATTTAATATCAAATTAAAATTTATTTATTTATTTTAAAATTTTTTTGTATATTATTATTTTGTTATAAATACTCAATTTTTTTGTATTTGCTTTTTATGCCATCACCGTCTGGATGAAATGAAAGCTTCATTTTCGGGTTATTCCAAAGAATTCTCTCTTGTTCTCATCTATATATGCAACTCTTTGTTTCTTTGTTTGTTTTTGTTTTTTTTTTTCTTGTTTAATACGTAAAACATATTTTTTAGCAATTTTTTTATTTTATTTATATTTTTTTAAGACCAAAAATTCAAGCTTGTTTTGACAAATAGACAAAACCCCCCAAAAAAGCAACTTCTCAAAAAATAAAAAGTCACTAAAAACTTAAAAAAAAAAAAAAAAAAAACAATTTGCCAAATTCATGAGCTTTTTGAACAAATATTTATTCTCAAAAAAATTAAAAAGCCAAAAGAAAAAAGAAAAAAAACCTTACTAAATTAAACGTATTAGTTAAACCCAATAAATTTGTTTTCATCCCAAGCCAGCAACAACAAAGACACCATACATATATGGAGAATTACAAATAATTGAAAAAAAAATATGAATATGCCAGTGGCCTTTGCTCTGGTGTAAGGTTACAGTTCTCATTCACACCAAAGAACATACCCATTTAATCTTCCATGTTCTTGTAATTATTTTTGCATGCATGCAATAAATCAAATTTTCATGCAGTGAAAGTAGTTAACAAGATGATTGTATCATATGGGTAATGGAAAATGTAAAGTTGGAATTACCAGAAGGTAAATCCCAGAGGCAATGATGAAAGTCCAGAACCGGCCAAGATGAGAGTCCGCGATGTAGGCACCGAGAAGAGGCATCATCCAAACAGTGCCGATCCAGTTGGTGACATTGTTAGCAGATTTGACAGTGCCTTCATGCAGCTTCCTTGTCAAATACAACACTAGGTTTGATGCTATCCCATAATATGCCATCCTTTCAAACACTTCATACCCTTCACACAATCAACAAGAAGATATGTCTTAGATCTTGCTTCTAAAATGAAAAAAAGTTCTAAAAAATCACACCTAGAGAAAGAAGATTTATTTATTTTATTTTAACTGGGAACCCTTTTAAGCTAGGGTGCTTTTTTATCCTCTACAAGATCAAATCTACGATGTACGGCAGTGCCCCACAAGTGCAAAATCAAAAGACTCGAACCCGAAACTTACTGCTTCACTGGCAAAAGTCTCATCACTGAGCTAATGAAGATAGTTCAGAAACAAGAAATTGTTCAAGATAAAACCACTACTAGTAGTTTGATTTTGCTCGTTTATCTTATCATACATCCTTGACTAGTTTTTTTTTTTTCATGATTCACTACTTAAATGAGGTTTATTGCTTTGAAATAATCAATTAGAAAGGGGAGTATATTCAATCACCATAGAAGTACTTTTTCTTGTACCTAACACACTTGCGATAATATGTTAGAAAAATGAAAATCCCAAAATATGATCAACGGTGAAAAGTGCATTAAGTACATAGGGTGGGTTGGCAAGTGGTGTGCATAGATAGGGGTACTTTACCAACAATGAAGGAACAGGCAGTCCATCTCCCAGTTTTTGATCTGAGGACAGGTCTACCCTTGAGATCCACAGTCCCATCTTGTGTGTAATCCTCTCTTCCATTCACAGCACCTTTCTCTTCCTCTATCTTTGCATAACCCTCTGTCCCTTCCACAGGACCTAATTTCTCTTCCTCTACCTTCACCATGGTAGCTAGAGAGTGAGAGTGACAGAGAGAGAGAGAGAGAGTGCAGACACAAGGACTTTAGGTGCATGCATATGGTCACTTTAGCTTTTGACTTTTTATAATGTTTGGCAATCAAAGGACTGGTATTTCTGGGACCTTTTCATCATCATCTAGAAGTATGTACTATGTTGAAACAGAATTGTACAAATATAAAGGGTAAATTACACTCACACCCTTGAAATTTGGTCTAATTACATCTTGTCTCTTGGCGTTTTGGAAATTATATTTCCACTCCTGTGATTAATAGTCTTATTTCACAACTCCCTACTTATATAAAAGATAACAACTCCTTAATAAAGAAAATTACATTGAAAAAAAAGAAGCAAAGGAAAGAGAAAAAAATAAGAGGAAGTAAAGCAAAACAAGAAAATAGAGAATGTATGAGTTCAATGTCTTCATTCCGTCTAAATAATTACAATGACAAGGGGGTTAGTGTAATTTTTCAATCCCCAGGGATGATATGTATTAAATCCAAACTTTAAGAGGTGTAAGTGTAATTTACCCAATATAAAATTTAGGGAATGAAGGGTCTAGTTTAGGGGTTGTGGGCTCACTCCGAGTCCATTTTGATAATTTGAATTGGTTATTTTTTAAATATTTATTTAGTAAATCATTCATATAAAAAATTAAATTTATTAAACATTGATAACCATAAAACAAAAATAAATGGTAAATATGATTTTTTTCTCTCTCCAAAACTAGCTATTTTTTAAAAACAAATTTAATCTAATTATATGGCTATTTGATATCTGATCAATTTGATTATTTTTTGTATGGATAACTTACTCGAAAAATACTAAAAAATAAATGATTTAGATCATTAAAATGAGTCTGGAGTGAGTCCATAGCCACTCAACTAGACTCTCCTACCCAATAATTAGATTAGAGGTAATCCCAGTTCAAAATTTATACAAAATTTTTAACCTTAGATCTTATATATATATATATATATATTTTTTTTTTAAAAAAAAAAACAAGTGCCATGACCATATCATTTTGATATGAAATTTTGTATAATTTTTTTATTTGTGAATTGTCTTGGTTAATTAAATACTCCACTTTATATTTTACATGTTCACTTCTATCTACCAACAACCACCACCACATATATGCCTCACGCATACTTATTTATAGCGCCCAACAACAATTTTGCATTCTTCTCGTCTCTTTCCCGTTTCTTGGAATTCTTGCCTCAATATTATCGACCACACATTAGGAGTGACAAAGGCCTGTTTGGGTGGGTCAAAAGCAACATGCTATTAGAAACTAATGGATAACTAATATAAGAACCCACACTTGTTCATCTACCCAACCACTTGGTCATTACTTTTCGATTGGAATTTTTCGTAACTTACAAAAAATATTTAAATAATAAATTGTTCAAATTTGATTTGAAAATTTACTTGATCTTGGGGGAATTTTAATCAACAAATCATGAGTTGAGCTCGAGCAATTTGACATTTTTTACCATTGTATAGTTCATATAAGCTTATCTTATTAAGTTAAAGCTGAATTCAAAAAATTAATGAGTTTTAAAATGTGTTTAAATTTGAAAAACTTATTAGATACTCTTGAAGTATCATATGATAACAAAAGTGAGTCAGCATGCCTTGCTTGTAAATTTTTTCATTACGTGATTAGCTTCAAAAACACTAAGTAGACAATGCCCTGAAATATTGTGAGACTACTAAACAATTACCCTTAAACATTCCTTGTTTACATTTTTTTTACATTTTTTTTTCTTTTGCCAAAGAAGAAAGAGGAGTTTTATTCATAAAGTGAAGAAGATGAGCATAGTGACCCAATATTAACTGATGAGTGCGTAAACACAAAGATGGGAAACAAACTTCCCACACTCAAGTCTCATCAATTGACAGAATATGGTACGCAATATCATGCCCTACTCCATTACAAATACGTGGAATGAATAGAAAGCAGACTGAATGTAAAGAAAGACAGAGTCTTGCAAAATTAGGAGGTTGTATTTCACCATTAAGGCTTTGATAGACTGTCTTATCATCACCTTTAACAATAATATTACGGTTGTGGCCAATCAACACCACCAAGGATCCTCTAGAGTGAAATTTTCTTAAAGTTTCCTAGAGTGCTACATTGTGTGGTTGAAATTTACTGGCAAGTCACATGAGAAAAATTGATGTGACTTGTCAGTAAATCTCAACCCCACAATGTAGCACTCTAGGAAACTTTAGGAAAAAATCACTCTAGAAGATCCTTGCTCCAATCAACACACACTGCAAGGCTTCTCAAACTGCCAAAGCTTCAAGCATTCGAAGAGGTAGACAAAAGAATTAAAGGAATAGATTTGATAAACAAAATCTCATCCATCTGAGTCTGCCCCACAATACCAATCCCAGCATGAAATTCTTTCTCCCTTGTACTCGCATTCGCATTCAGCTTGATTTATCCACATGACTTGTTTACATAAGATGTTGATTTTGAGCTTAAATAATTTGATTCGTTTTTTATAATCCTAGTTACTATTAATTTACAGTTTTAATTGCACCTTCACCGACACAATCTAATCATGATCCGAGCTTGATTAATTTAATTGATTTCATTTTCCTACTAACAAAATTACAATTTTTAGTTGCAGATCAACTACACATTCTCAAAACCGGCGAAGAATCTACTATTTCAAATATTCTAAAATAGTAAGAGCACAAAATCAAGTACAACTATTATTTTCAATTTACATTTAATTAATTTGTAGGTAATGAATCTGTAAAATACGGAAGAAGATGAAGACATCTTGACCTATAAACCCACATATTAATATTTAATAACGACTGAGAATTGATAAGTCTTTATATTGCCCTAATTTGTACTTAACATTACGCAGTAAATTTCTAAGTGGTTACCTTTTTTTTTTTTTTGTATTTGTTCGTAATCCTTAATATTTTTATTGAATTTCTGTTATATGTCTGTAATTACGTGTTGAATTATTTTTCAATTTTAATATCTGGAACGATGTCGATGGTATGGACATTATGCAACTGGCTCATGACCATGAACTCCATAGAAAGGTACATCTGGGTCCATATCCAATTAAAAGTGGTGGTTGAAATTGGTCCAATCACATGGCAACTTTAAAATTGGGTCATGGAAGTACAAAAGGTTAAAGTGAGTACATCTCTAACGTTATATCAAATATTTTATTAAATCTGAATAAAATTTGAGAAATTTTTTTTTCTGATATCCAGCTTTTCAATGGTAAATTTTTGGCCGGCAAATGTAATTCTTCATCTAACTGTGATTCAAGCTTCCTTGCCTACGTGCCAGATAATGTCATTCTTCAAAAACAGTTAACCAGAAGAAAACTCATCTTCATAACCACGAATTCGATATAGCAATCAATTTAGAAGCAAAATGAGAAAATGATGATGATCACTTGGATTTAAAATGAAAAGACGGCATCATTCATGGCCAGTAGTTATGCTGGCATTTTTTTCCTGTTTTCCTAAATATATTTTTATAAGAAAATAGATTATCAAGTATCTAAAATGCTTTTATTGTAAAACTCAAGACACAATTTTGTGGATTGATCCAAACTTGTCGTAAATGCCAAACAGTAATGACTTCTGCATGCACTTTTTATTTGCTCTTTTTCTTGAAGTTCTGCTTCAAAAATACTTCTCTATTTCATCAGTCGATCCCACAAAAATAAAATGGTCGACCTTTCCAATTTTTTATTTTTATTTAAAAAAAAAAACATGAAATACTCTTGTGGAAAGTCATCATCAATTTGACATAAGCAATATGTCCAACTCTAAATCTGTGATGTAGTTAAGATTTCTTTCTAGTCATGGCAAAGAGAAAAGTAACACTTTAGTTTTTTAAATATTGCCATAAGAACTTTACTGCAATAACATTAACTATGAACTTATAATGGGAAGATATTGTTTGGGTAATAGAGTCCTGATAGAAGTGAAAATCATTATGCTGTACATATGATGAATTGTGTGAAACAGGTATAAGCTTTCATGCCATCGTAGTCTTATTTGGAGCAGAGCCGAGCATGTGCTTTGATTTACAGAGACTAAACCAGATCGACAAGAAATGTGAGAGAGAGAGAGAGAGAGAGGCGAAGGGGTGAAAACGAAGGAAGGCTTCAACGGCATGGAAAAATTTTCCAAGGGCATGGAAATTTTTTATTTTCTTTTAGCAACAAACAACAAAGAAGAAGAAAAAGCAAACAATTTTGCAAGCCTATTGACACATTGCTCTGTTGTGGGAAATTTTCAACTAAGAAGATGATCGTCCAGCCAATTATCCGGTGGGCACAACATTTAACGGTTATACATAGTAAAATGTTGAAAGGTATTAGACATCTTCAGTTTAGTGAAACATGGCCTTACAAGTAGAGTTATAACGTTTCCAACACTTTATCAAATTTGTTATTAAAGTTAAGTTTGTTGAAAAATATCTAAAACGTAAACTTTAATTTTTTATTAAATTCATATAAAACAGAGAGAATTACTTTTTTTCATTAAATGATTTATTAAATTTGTAGGCGATCGTTGGACTGAATGTCTTTGCAAACAATTTCTTCTTTGTAAAATTGCCCATAAGAGTGTTGGTTAATTTACACAAATTGATCGACCGATCAGACATTTATCCGGTCAACTTCTCGATCAATCGATGCTTCAATGAAAAATACAAATTACCATTTAAAATGCTCGATATCGGATAAAATTTTGGGTCATGCTCCGGAGCTCTAATTAGAGCTGCAACAGTGCAACTCTAATGAGCTGTCCAACCATAAAAAAAAAAAAAAACAGTGAAGTAAAAGACAAAAAAAAGAGAAGAAAAAGATAAATTAGAGATGCATTAGAAGTCTTTATTTAGTGGTCCAAATTATTTTTGTAAAATTTTTACTGAGGAATCTTCTTACAAAAAGAAGTTGACCTCAAGCGTGCTTGATTTGACCTCTTGAATCGATCAGTGGGCTAGATCTAGACTTAACTTGATAATCCAGTCAAGTATGGCGACTGACACACCGGTCAAGTATGGCGACTGATCCATTTTAGCAATTCAAAAAAAAAAAAAA